GCGCGTGTCTTTGTCGTGGGGACGGGCCTTCCGAATACGCGATGCATGCGCTACTCGTAAGCACTCACGTGGTACGCGGTAGTCATAGTGTGTGACAGGGCGGGGGCGGTGCCCCGGGCGTGGCGGGGCGTGGCGGGGCGTGGCGGGGCGTCCTGAATAGTCATACGGTGACTTTGCTCAGCAATTACCCTCTAATGAAATGCACGCCGGGCAGGCGCGGCCCCCGCGGTGCCGATTGTATGAAATTTGTGAGAACCGCGCGCCTCGCCGGCGCGGAGGAGTCCGTGTCTGAGGCGCTGCCGGCGCGGCGTCGTGGGTCCTGGAGTGGTTCTATCTGGCTACCGTGATGGGCGCGTGATGGCGGGGCAGAGGGAGCCACACCGCCGGGATGCTTTCCATCTGTCGCCCCGCCCCGCCCCGCCCGCTACCGCCCTGCCTTACCGGCCCGTAATGATGCCACAGGCTGTACTCCGGAGCCAGCAGCAGGGCCCGGCGCAGGCTCCCAGAGGTCCCCCCAAAGGGGTACCGGTGTGGGGTACCCGGGAGTGCCCTGGCCCGCCCCCTCGCCCCCGCCCCGGGGCCCCCGGGGGCCCCCATTGTTCTGAGAAGTGTCTCGTCACCTTGCCGCAATCTGCCGGGGCCCTGCGCCCGGGCCAGGCGGGCCCTCCTGTCCACACTGCCCGTTGGAAATAATAAAACATTTTCCCGCCCGTATTCGAACATTCGAACCTTCCCGCCGGACGTGGGGATGTCATTAATTATGACGGCGCTGCCGCCGCCGGGACGATCCTCTGTTCGGACCGGATTAATTTGAGTTGGAAACAAACGCGGCAAGAGCAAGAGTGGAGGAGAGCAGATCAAAGGGTTTATTGGGGTGGGCACGGGGTGTGCGGCTGTTTCCCGGTTTCCTTGTAGTAGTGTGTAGGGCGCATTGAACTGCGCTGAGGACTGCTCCCTCTCTCTCTGTCTCTCTCTCTGTCTCTCTCTCTGTCTCTCTCTCCCCGCCCCCTCGCCCTCTCTCTCTCTCTCCCCCTCTGGACCTTTCTCTCGGAGCATATTAAGATTCCTCCGCGCACCCACCGAGCCTTACCCCACCCTCCTCTCCCCCACCTCGTACACTGCCAGAGACAAACAATTCTTTTATCGATTCGTTCCACTTCCGCCTGTTTAAATCACCCCACGGCCCGTCCGTGTGTGAGTGAGCGATTGGAAGGAGAGGAGGAAAAGGGGGGGGGGGGGGGGACGTGGCTGGGACTGAGGAATCTCCTGCCCGTTCAAAAGTCTGGGACGAAATCGATTTCCTCCTCAGGCAGTTTGAAATTTATTTTTGTATTATTTTTTTCCCAACAGCGTAGCATGAATCTCAATTTGAATATGAAGGGGGGCTTGGGCATCAATACTAACGGACGGAAGGGTATTCGGAGTGACGGAATAGAAACAGACGGGGTCCTCTCTGCGGTCAGTTTGACAGAAACGTTCAGCTATCAAGCCGAAAGTCGGCTGATTTGTCGGTGGATTCGATGGCAGTAAAATGAGAAATGTGAAATGAAATTGGAATGCGGAAAAAAAATAGAATAGTCATCTCGTCAATGGCGGGGACCTTTGACCTAACCTTTAGCCACCCCGCGAAAATAGTGCAGTGCTCAGAGCTGTCTAGTGCTCTGATTCTTATTCACGGGGCTCATATTGTGCAAAGGCTTCTTTCATCTGTCCTATACTCTCTCTCCCTCTCTCTTTATTCCATCGAGAGAAGTGTGTGTGGAGTGCGATGCTTGCATTGCTGGTCCATAGTTCGACGACCACTGCTGACGCCGCGTTAAAAAAAATCTAAACAAAAAACAATCAAATAACATGTCAGCGCGGCGTTCCAAACGCATGACAACTCTTCGGATATGAATGACGTGCCGCCGCACTCACAATGGCCAGATTTAACCGAATCGATAAAACCCTCTTAGATCAATCGACGCAATCGATACCCCGCGGAGTAGTGACTCTGTCTTAATAGCGGCTAGGCGCTGTTGCGAAGCAATTTATCGAGGCGCGCCGGTGCAGACTCGTGCGCCCCGCTGCACCAGGCGGGGGTTCGAGTACCGCCGCCTCTACATATTTTGTTTTTAAATTTATTTTCGCTGCCGTGCTGCGGCCGTGGCCGCGCGCCGTGCCACACGGCCCCGTGGTACGGTAGTGCCGCTACGGCCGCTGCTGCGAGCCCCATGGCCGCCCATGGCATGCCGGGCCGAGCACCATGCCGGCTGCCCGCCGCGTGCACGCCGAGCAAGCAGTAAGCCACATACCAAGGAACGAGCTGTAGGCAATTTGAGCACCTCGGATTGCCCTACCCGTCGTAATAATTTTATTGTAAACAGTGTACGCGGCGGTCCGTGGCGGGGCGTGGCGGGGCGTGGCGGGGCGTGGCGGGGCAGGGCCCGCAGGAAGGAGGTGAGGCTTTTCTGGGCCCGGTCCGACGCTTGCGCTGCCCGCCTGGTCAGCGAACCGCAAACATTTTTAACATTTTTAACTCCCCAGAGTGCGAGAACGTGTTGCGTCCACACTTTCGTTTGTCGAACCGCTGGCTCGAAGCTAAAAGCACGCAGGGCCGTGTAGTGGGGGAGGGGCTCGGGGGAGCAGGCGCTGAACAGGAACGGGCCCCGAGGGCCGCGGGTAGCTGAGAGTTACTCTGTGCTGACTATTCATCGTATACTCTGACACTCTGACTAACCTCTTGTTCTTGTGTTGCAGGATGCCGGTGCGGTAGCGACGCTGCGGTGCGCCGGCCTGGCCGCGCACCCTTCCCCGCCATGAGGTGGCCGACGACGTTGGCCATCCTCGGCGCCCTCCTGGCCCTGGTGTCCGGCGAGCATGTCCGCGACCTGGAGGTGTCGGAGGGCGCGCCGGTGGGCACGCGGGTCGGGCTCATCGGCGATGGTGACGTGTCCGGACCTCCCTACCTCATCGTCCCGGTGCCCGGCAGCCCCGTGGACTCGGACCTCGCCATCGACCAGACGACGGGCGAGATCAAGACCCGCGTGCGCCTGGACCGGGAGACGCGCGCGTCGTACTCGCTCGTGGCCATCCCGCAGCGGAGCGGAGAGAACGTCCGCGTCGTGGTCCGGGTCCGCGATGAGAACGACAACGCGCCCACCTTCCCGACGCCCGTCATGAACATCGAGTTCCCGGAGAACACGCCCCGGGATGTGAAGCGGACGCTGCAGCCCGCACGGGACCCGGACCTCGGCGCCTTCTCGACGCAGAGGTACTCGATCGTGTCGGGCAACGTCAACAACGCGTTCAAGCTCTCCTCGCACGAGGAGCGCGACGGCGTGCTGTACCTGGACCTGCAGATACACGGCATCCTGGACCGGGAGACGACCGCCTTCTACAGCCTGCTCATCGAGGCCGTGGACGGGGGAAGCCCCCCGCTGCGGGGTACGATGACGGTCAACATCACCATCCTGGACGTGAACGACAACCAGCCGCTCTTCAACCAGAGCAGGTACTTCGCCACAATCCCCGAGAACGCCACGGTGGGCACCCCGGTGCTGCAGGTGTTCGCGACGGATGCGGATGCGGGCGAGAACGGCCAGGTGGAGTACACCATCAACCGGCGGCAGAGCGACCGCGCAGCCATGTTCAAAATCGACCCCTCCACCGGGCAGATTTCCGTCAACCGGCCGCTGGACTTCGAGACGAAGCAGGTGCACGAGCTGGTCGTGGTGGCCAAGGACCACGGCCTGCAGCCCCTGGAGACCACGGCCTTCGTGTCCATTAGCGTGACGGACGTCAACGACAACCAGCCCACCATCAACCTCATCTTCCTCAGCGACGACGCCACGCCCAAGATCTCTGAATCAGCACAGCCCGGGGAGTTCGTGGCCCGCATCTCGGTCCACGACCCGGACAGCAAGTCGGAGTATGCGCCCAACGAACACGTCAACGTGACCCTGGAGGGCGGCGACGGGTGCTTCGCCCTCGCCAACCGGGACAACATCATCTACCTGGTGATCGTGTCGCTGCCGCTGGACCGCGAGTCGCGCCCCAACTACACCTTGAGCGTGGTGGCCACGGACGGCGGCAGCCCGCCGCTGCACGCGTCCCGCACCTTCCACCTGCGAGTGACGGACGTGAACGACAACCCGCCCGAGTTCACCCAGGAGCAGTACACCGCGAGCGTGCTGGAGGTGGCCGAGCCCGGCACGTCGGTGGCCCGCGTCCATGCCACGGACCGCGACGAGGGCATCAACGCCGAGGTGACGTACTCGCTCGCCGACACCCCGGACTCGCACTCCAGCTGGTTCCAAGTGGACGAGGTCACCGGGGTGGTGTCGCTACGCGCGCACGTCGATTGCGAGACGGACCCGCAACCGCGGCTGCTCGTCGTCGCCACGGACAAGGGCACTCCGCCCATGTCCTCCACCGCCACCGTGCTCGTCACCATCCACGACGTCAACGACAACGAACCCATCTTCGACCAGAGCTTCTACAACGTCACCGTCGCCGAGAACGAGGCTCGGGGCTGCTCCATCCTCAAGGTGAGTGCCATTACTTTTATTTTTCCCTGACCAATGGGGAGGGTGCAGTGTGCGTTTTCCGCCAGCAAAAAACTTTTTCCCCGGCAGGGTGTGTGAAATTACGCAGTTTACGCTTACTGCCCATTCTAATGAGAAATGAAGCTGTAAAAGCGGCCAGCGGCAGTATTCTTTGCGCTCTGCGTGCGGAAAAGTCGCGTCTGTGGCTGCAATTGACTCGTATAATAAGTGAGTGTGTGTGAGTGAGAACGAAGAAAAAGATGGGAAGTGTGGGATAGTGACGTGGTGTCAAAGGGCAAAGGCAAAAACGACACAGAGAGAGAAGGTCACCTTGCGCTTAATAGGGTATTTCACTCGAACCTAATTTAGAACAACAATTCTACTCACCCAGCAATTTTCTTCTAACGCTGATTGGCTTTCACTGCCAATGACACAATCAAAAGCCAATCAGCTTTAAAGGAGGAAATTGCTGTCCATGGAGTTCCACGAACTTGAACACATTCCGTGGAGTTGGAATACGTGAAAGAGAGTGGGAGGAGGAGGAGGTTCGCCCGGGCCAGGTAAAGGGAGGGAGGGGAGGGGGAGGGGGGTTAGCCGGCGGGCAGCACAGCGGGCCTACCGATACCATCTCCCCGACACCCACCCGCTAGGTACCAATTGGGTGCCGACTAAGTACCCACTCAGCACCGTCCACTGGGCATCCGGAGGCTCCCCCGCAGGCCGCAGGACGCCCAGAGGCTTTCTGCGGGGGCTCCCTTCCTATCCCCAGGAGATATATGTCAACGGCTTGTCGTCGAAGGCGTCTCGGATGGTCTTATGAGTGGCCACGACGGCATACTTGCTGAAGGCGCATGCGCGCAGGGCCGCCGGGATGCGCGGAGTCACCAAAGGATGCCTTCCCTGCAGGACTTGCAGGCCGCGGGGCGGGGCGCAGCGGCGGCGGCACGCAGCGCCACTGCATCAGCGGCAGGCCCGGCCGCAGCGGCCTGCAGCGCCCTCTGCTCAGCCACTGGATTACTTCTTACGCTCAGGTCGATGGCCGGGCTGGCCTGGCCGGGCGGGCCTGGCTCGCCCGTCCGGCTCGTCCTGGAGTCGGGCGGTAGGCGGGGTGGTGGGGCGTCCAGGGACGGCGCTCCGGTCCCAAACCTCCTCCGGGCCCTCCAGGTCGGCTCGGCGCCCTATAGCATCAGCCCCCGTGTGTGGTGTTGTGGTGCGCCGGGCAGCGAGCCCGACCCCTAGGACGTGGCGAAATGGAGCGGCAGGTGCTCCAGTCGGGCGGGCGCGGGGCGGGGCGGGGCGGCCACACGTGGACTCGGACGCCACGTGGGCCCCACGAGCAGGTGCCTCGCTCGCGCCGCGCCCGAATCGCCACCCGACTTTGATGGCCATGGAGTGAGTCACGAACGTTCAGAACGCCGCGCGCACCCGGCGCCCCGCCCTACTATTCGGCACTTCCAGCCGAACCCCTGGTCCGGCTCCACCTCGGCGCACTTTGGGCGACCTGGGGAGCGCGCGCGTGTGCTCTAGATGGGCGGTGCGGGCGCGTGGGGGGAAAGGGGGGGGGGGGGGCTCCGGAGCCGACCGGTAACGCACACGTATACTGTAAAGTGCTCCCCCTTTCCCCCCGCCCAGACCAGCCAGCTCTCCCTCTCGCTCTCGTCTTATTCTAAATTTCTTTTGTTTGTGGTTTTGTGCGCCCAGCCGCCACCGCCGCCGTTTCTGATTGAAATATCGGCCGTGAAAGCTATACGCCGCCCTGACAGTCATTGCCCGGGTGATGACTCGATGATGGCGGCGCGGCGGCGGCGGCGCGCGGCGTGCGGCCCGCACCGTCGGGGTGCGCTCTGCTGGCTGGTGAAATGTGTAATTATTTGGCGACCTCTCTCTCTCTCTCTCTCGCTTTTGCTCCCTCTTGCTCTCTCTCTCCCTGCGTCGTCTCTACGCGCCGTATGATTGGTGCGCGATGATCTCGCCCTGGAGCCTGTCGCAATGAGGAGGAGGCTGTTGGCGTTGACCGGGCCCGCCGCGCACATCGCTATGTTTCACCATCACGGCCTCCATCACCGTTGCCGCGGTGCCGCACTCGCCTCGCGCCGCCCTGCAGAGCGCATTGCGCAAGCAGTGCACTGCTGCGGTCACCGACAGGACTCGGAGGTGGTGTGTGAGAGCGAGAGAGAGAGAGAGAGAAAGAGAGAGCGAGCAAGCGGAGGCAGAGAGAGAGGTGGTCTTACTCTATATAAAAATGTGATGCTGCCCGCTACTTATTTGTCAATAAACAGTCTCACAGTTCTGTACAGTCAAATCCATTCAACTGTGGCACACTCTTAGGGATCGTCGAGAAAGTACGTTATTCGCAGATTCATTCGGCTTACTTTTGGAGCTCGAGCGCCTGCGAGACTCTAGGTAGGCCACCCCGCGGTGCACGCATGCACTGCGGGTAAGACGTTGCCTACCTAGCAGGCGCTATGGGAGCTTGCATATGCTGAACTTGTCAGTTTCGGCGAATAACGGGCGCACTCGCTGGATGACCCCTAACCTGCACACAGCATAGTCGAAAGGACGAAAAGCGTAGTTTCTGACGTAAAAAGACGAAACTGTCGCAGTGTTCTGCGGCCCGTTTGTTGGCAGGGCATAGCGGTCTGGCCGGGTCGGGTCAGTGAATGCGCTCGTATGGTCGAGCTCGCGTCAGCAGCGGGGACCGGGCCCGGCTACCCGGAGGGGAAAAAATCGTGCAAACCACAAGACAGTCGAAAGAAAAACACTGAAAAAAAAACTGTTGTTAGAAAATTGCATGTACTGTATAAGGGTTGCGTGCGTATTGCATTTATGCTATCGTTTTCTAAACAACGCGTGCGTCGCGGGCTGTTACCTCCACAGCCGTCGTGCCGTGTGCGTGCGTGCGTGTGCGTGTGTGTGTGCGTGTGTGTGTGTGTGTGTGCGTGTGTGTGTGTGTGGCTTTGGAGAGGCGTTTTGTTGTTCACGCCTCAAGTAACATGCGCCCCTAATGTTTGTTGAAATCGCACACCGAAAGATTTCCGCGCCAGGCTGCTCACCCCGCCACGCCCCGCCACGCCTCGTACGCCATGGTGGGTTTCGCGGAGAGTAAGTGAGGGCAGTGCCTGTACGCGAGGCTGACATGTGTTGTTGATTGATTACCGTTTCAGGTAGGCCCCTCCTCCCCCTCCCCCTCGCGCTCTGCGCCACGCTGCGATGCCCAGGCGTTTGTCCTTGGGGTCGACACTCTGTTTCTGTTTTTACCCACATCATCGGCTGTCGGGGTCGGGGCGCCTACACACACATATATAGAAAGTTCCCACCACATTCGAGATCCCATCGTCGGAAATCGAAAAGAGAAGTTTCATTCAAAAGAGGCGAGCGCCCAAGCGAGCGTTGATTTCCTTGCGGTGCGGGGCGGGGCGGGGCGCGCCCCGGTGACGGGCTAATGCGGTTCACCGCAGGCCCCACAGCCGCGGGCCCCGGGCCGAGGTGCCGCGATGGCGTCGGGGCTCCAGAGAGGGAACGAATCAGCCGGGGAAAAGAGATTTTAGCCGATATTGTCTGGGTTTTAGCCTCCCTCTGCGCCGCGCTGCTCCTCCGGGCTGCCGCCCTTTGGTCACCATCCACGGCCGGAACAGTAGTTCCGTTGAACGCATTTGCGCCCCGCGTTTTCCCTTCACCCCCTCCTCTCACCCACCCTTTCCCTTTTTATTTTCCTACTTCGCCCGCTCACTCCCTGCCCGACCTCTTCCCCTTCCTTCTCCCGCAACCTCTCTGTCAATGCAGTTCTCACCCAAAGTTATGGCTCACAAATTGCCATAACTGCCAGCCTCCCCCCTCCTCCCCTCCACCCCTTTCCCTCCCACCTTCTGAGCCCCGACCTGCCGAGCCCGTGCCTCGCCTCCTCGTTCCTCCAAACACAGTATATATTACACATTTAGTTTTCCCTTTAAACCCGCGGGGGAGACCATCCGGCTGAAGCGCGCGTGCTTCGCTTTTCCATTCAGCCGCTGCTGCTGCTGCTGCTGGCTGGTGCGGACTCCAGCAGCTGGCTTCTCCTATTTCAAGAGAGCGACCTCGCCAGCTGCACTTGAATGTTCGCAGCTGTTTCCATAGCAAGCTATATAGTAGTGAAGGGAGACGTTTGGAAGGAGGGGGGGGGGGTGCAAAGAGGAGGCTGGGCGATTTGCGCAGAGAAAGTGCTGCCGCGCCGCTGTTGCTGCCCTCTGGCGCTGGGGCGTCCGCGCGCGTCACGGCGTGCGGAGGGTCGATGTATCGAGAGTGTCGATAATGACCTCAAGCGAAAAGAGTAGGAGCGAAGGGACGGAGGGGGAGTGGGGGGGATCTGACAGTGAATGGGGAGAGAAACGAAGACTGTGGACTGTGTGTGTGTACAAGTATTTGTACAGCACTCTGAGGGAAATGTTTGGCCATCACGACTGAATAATTTGACTGTTGTAACTAAAATGGTATTCAGTCTGCCCCCTGAGTTATAACCGGAGGACGTTCTGTTGTATTACCTGATGTGTTCGGATAGAGAGTCATCAGTTTGACGACGGTCCAAAATTGCATGGCAAAGCTAAAATATCTAGTATAACTATACCAGCGGAATTTGAGGTGACAAAATAGAGATGTTTCCAAAATCGAGGGGTCCTCAATTAAGGGTGACAGGTGGCATAGAGCGTATAAGTGTAAGTGTAAAATTCGTGTTTGTACACTTATTTGTAGTCGGATTTTATGCACTTGATGCACACAAAGAGTTGCATCAATCCAAATTAAAACATTGCTAGAAGTATGTTTACCTACCATACATGCATATGCATTTTTCCCCGTTTTGTTTTTTCTTGGGGGATAGGAGGAGGGGGTATTTGGTTTATCGACGACACTTGCGCTGCCGCGCGCTCGGCTCGCAGTGTAGCGCACAACACGCTGCCGCTGGCGGAGCTCCGCCGCCTCGTTCGCGTCCGGCCGCTAAACAGAAATAACGCCCGCTAAAGCTTTTCGAG